GCTCCACCTCTCGTCTACCGCCCCCCCCCCCCCCGCCCTGCAGGTTGTTTTCCGAGCCGCCCGCGACCCAGACTTCGACCTGGCCCTGGACTCGGTCTCCATCCGGCTGGGGCCCTGCTCCCGTATGTACAGACGGACACTCGCCTGCCCCCCCGCCCCCCAAATCCCCCCTTTTCCCACTGTGGGTTTTACCTTCCCCGAGTTCTTTGTCTGGGAATTTCCTTGGTTTTTTACGTCCCGTTAATCTCTGGGGTCCCTGGGGGGGGCCCAGCATCTACCCTCCCCGGTGCCCCTGGCTTCCCCCCGGCTCTCGGCCGGCCTGAAGTCGGTCATGACTTTCCCAGGCCCAGCACCCACAGCAAATGAACCGCCCCCGGTGAGAGATCCAGCCCTGTTTCTCAGCTGCCCCGACCACTGGGCCGGGTTCAAACCCATTTGGGCCCAACCTCGCCAGCTCAACGCCTGGCAGGCCGGAGCGAGCTGGGTGGGAACACCTCACACGCTCCCCGTGGGGCGTGTAGCCTGGGACCAGTACGTTATGAGTGTCACGAGTTCGTTGGGCCTCAGCAGAGGGGCTGAGAGAGGGGGAGCCAGTGACAGGCGGGGGTTATGGGGAGTATAGGGGGTCAGACAGGGAGGTAGAGGGGTGTGTGGGGATGGATAGATAGATAGAGGGGGGGATGGGGCTAGATAGATGGGCGTGTCAGGGAGGGATGGACGGATAGAAGGATAGACAGGGGGGCGTCGGGGATGGATGGATGGATAGAAGGACAGCCGGGGGAGTGTTGGGGATGGATGGATAGAAGGAGAGACATGCGGGCGTGTCGGGTATGGTTGGATGGATGGATAGAAGGATAGACAGGGGGGCGTGTCGGGGATGGATGGATAGAAGTGTAGTTAGGTGGGCGTGTCGGGGATGGATGGAGGGATGGATAGAAGGGTAGATAGGTGGGCGTGTTGGGGGATGGATGGATGGAAGGGTAGATAGGTGGGCGTGTCGGGGATGGATGGAGGGATGGATAGAAGGGTAGATAGGTGGGCGTGTT